GCCGAGACCCGCTTCAGTGCAGCCCATTTACTACACTTTGCTGACCTGACATTTAAACTATACCACAAAACCCAACAACTTCTGACTGAAGTTATTTTGAAGTGTTTTTAACTTCTTGTCGGTAAGCCTTTTATGTGTTTCTCCTTTTTAACCACTGACCAAATCACTAAAATTAAAATAAAACCTTTTTTGTTTACTATAAAAATTTAGCTGTTCGTCTTGTTTTCCCTTTACTCTTCTTTATCTTATTTCTTCTGCTGTTCACCTGACATTAGTCACCCTGGATTTTCGAAAATGGATAGTCCCCTGGCATCTGCCTCCAATGACAACTGAGCTATGACTGCACTACCCTGTATGCTACACACCCTTACAGAGTCAGGAGAGTAGTGGGAGGGAGCAAAAGAAACAAGTTTGCCAACTAGGAATTATGAGTACTTTAAAAATTTTGGGATAAGAAAACACCATATCTGACTAACACAGGGTTGATAGTTATTAATGAGGTAACAGATTCCTAGGTTCCTCAACAAAAGACATAAATTTAATGTCAATCCCACACCTGGAAACCCACCACCCTCTCATTGTTCTTAATTTTATCTTTGTCCTTATTTCTTATATGCAGCATTCCCACCTAAAACTAATTTAATATTTTTATTTACTTTTTATTTTTTTCAATAGGAGTAGACAGGTTCATCTATCACCCTGTTCACACTCCTTCCAGTTTTTTCAAAAGGAGTAGAGGCTTATCCCTTGTTTCCTGTTTAGGATTGGGTTTCCCATTCCTTTTAAAGTCTACTTCTAATGTCTCTGCCTGAACTCTGTATTTTTATTAACTAATTATTCCTCTTCATTAGGTTAGCCTAATGCCCAGTTCACACTCCTCACCAGTCTTTTGAAAAGGAGTATAAGTTTATCGCTTGTTTACTGTTTAGAGTTGGGTTTCCAGTTCCTTCTAAAGTCTTTTCATTTTCTTTCAATCCCAGTAACCCCTTGCATTTTAGTGGCATTATTGCCTTGCGTGGGGTGAATTGATTAAACAAAAAAGAAAAAGGATATTTGTAATTTTTGTGTATATTGTCTTTTAATATTATCAAAACGAAGGGAGATAACTAGTTTACCTCCCTTGAACTAGTGGTGTCGTGGCAGGGGCAGGGTTATGATATTGGTGAACCTTACAAAGATGTTTATAAAACCAGTAGGGCATAAAATGACTGACGCTATGAAAGAGCCAGATAAAACGATATTAATTGAAAAAAATATATTTAAAGACTCATCGTCATTATCATTTATTCAGGTAGTGCATTTTGAGCTGATGTGGTCACCACCCCCCTCCATCACACAATTGTGGTTCATGGTGACATTCAAGGCAGAATAATGCAATGGCTTGCCAGCTCCATTTGCACTGGGGATGTGTAGAAGTTAAAGAGGCAAGACCTACAAGGCAGCAGGTGGTTTGAATTTAGTTTTCCTTCTCGTAAGCTGGTTGTCAACAAAGGCTATAGGGCCCAGCTTGTCCTGCTATTTATTCATAGCTGGGGGGGAAGAGATGGATTTATACCTTTCCCAAGTGTAAGTGAATGGAATGAACTCGACTGGAATTCAAACTCAGCTCTCCAATTCTCAGTCTAAGCCACTATTCAGGGTTGGTGCAAGTGTCTTGTGCCCCCAACACTTCCAAATCTATGATACAAGAACCATATGCAATATAGGTTTACAATTCAACTATAAAACTCAAAATACAAATTAGAGACATGCCAAAAAAGATCATGCCATCTTAAATAAATCAACAATGTTTTGTGGTAAGTTTTAACATCAACTTGAGATTTTTCTTGTGAAAAAGTTGAATAGTTTAAACGCATTCAACATTATGGATAAAAAAATGTGAATTTTATATAATGTCTTCTCAAGAGATTTGCATGAGAAAAATTCACAGATTTGGACGAAAAAAAAAAGTCCCCAGAATTATATCAAAATCCACAAAAAATTTTTTCATCCTTTAATAGTTAGTTTTGCTTAGTATAATTTGTAATGTATATAAATGTAAGTAGAAAAAAATAAATGTTGATAAGATAGCAAGGACCACAAAGCCCTACCTAATGTCTCCAATCAGGCTTCCTTCCCGGTTGGGGGTTTTGGGGTATTATGCAGTATGCACATATATATATATATATATATATATATATATATATATATATATATATATATATATATATATATTTAAAAGGAAAGTGTATTTAAACATGTAATTCCATTAAATTCAAGTGGCCAGTTCTGTCTGATTTTTAATTATATTTTTCCATTTTTCTAAAAGGTTGTTGTACATCCGGATCACTGTAGTAAATAAACTGACTAAAGTCCTATCAATTATTACTTTACAATCTAAAATTTTTTCTGGCTTTAAATAACCTGCAAAAGGGATTATAAACCATAGCAACCAATCAACCTATCTCAGTCTGTTCTTATCTATCTGAACTGACCAAAATCCTATCTATCATTCCACTGTGACTCACCAGGGAAAAACCTTGTAATAAAATATGACAATATTTTTGACTGCATGGATTAAACTAATTAATTAAATAAAAATCTCTTATCAAGCTATTAAGCTGACAAGAATGCCGTGATTAACTCCCCTTAGTTCAAAATGAATTACCTTATACTTTAAATAACAAAGTCCTCTGATGAAATATATTAACTGCTGCTTAATGCAATGTTATCTTTATACAGACTGATAAGAGCAGAAGACTAAATAGCTCATGCATAAAATTATTGCTTATTCAACTCTGTTGATTAAGGGGCGTGTGAATTTGGGGGCTTTCTCCAAATGTGGATTTTTTTCTATCAAAGTCTATCTGTCTTTTCCCACTTAGGTTGGTGCTTATATATCTTCCTATAATTAGTTGTCCCACATGTGCGTATCTTAAAAGCAGATGAGTCAACAACCTATTTATATGTCAGGCACTGACATCTTCTGGGGCAAAATCTACAACCAGTGGTTAGGAGGTCGGCTTCTAGATCAACTTGCTGATGCACCTGGCTTCTCTGATGCTACACTAAGTGCAAAGTCTATTTTAGTATCATCTGGAGTGAGCTCAATAAATATTGTGAACACCACAGATCAACTTCTCTTAGAACAAAGGTTCCTTACTGACATTAAATTTGATTCTGACCATTTTGTATTTCCTGGTGTCAGTCATATACAATATATACATAATATTTTTTAATGCCATGTCCCTTAAGGACATAAGCAATCATGGTTTCCCACAATTTCTTTTTCTTTAATATCTGTGAATTGCTATGGGAAAAGTAGTGGAGTGGTTTCTTGTTGCATTAACAAACTTGTTTCATAATTACAAATGATTTCTTTCTTTCTTTTTTAGTCTAATTTTCTTATAAAACCCACAAAAGCCACTGCTAATCATAATGTTCAGGGGATGGTGTGAATAAACAAATGTAATTTTAAGAAATCTAACCACAAAAGGTGATTCTGTTGATATCTACAGAAAACAAAATGCTGATTGTTGAATCATTTTTCATACGTACATCAATAAGTCCATAGCCTAATAATCAAAAAAGCATTTATTTTACTCAATAAATATTTCTTTTTGTACATAATCTCCTTCTATGTCAATGTACTTAACCCAATGCATTTTCCTTAATCACATAAATAAAACATTATACAATGAAAATCTCAGATCAAAATTCAGCTGTGTGCCTGGCTACAGACTTATTGATCCCCCTTAAGTAAATGTTTCAGCTTTAAAAATAGAAAGATATTATTCTAGAAACATTTTTTTAAGTAAACTAATTATTTTCCATAATAGTGGCAAGATTTATATGTAAATATCTATAAATAGATAATAAGTAATATTACCTCTGTCCCATAATAAATGTAACATTAAGTGTATGAAATATATATGCAAATGTCACAACTATTATAGGACAGGGTCAGTATTAAATAAGTAATATTACCTGTCCCATAATAGATGTGATATTTAGTGTATGAAATATATATGCAAATGTAACAACTATTATGGGACACAGTCAGTATTAAATAAGTAATATTACCTGTCCCATAATACATATAACATTTAATGTATGAAATATATATGCAAATGTAACTATTATGGGGCAGGATCAGTATTAAATAAGTAATATTATTTCTATGCCATAATAGATGTTACATTTAAGTAATATTACCTCTGTCCCATAATAGATGCAACATTTAGTATATGAAATATATGTGCAAATGTAACTATTATGGGACAGGGTCGTCAGTATTAAATAAGTAATATTACCTCTGTGCCATAATAGATGTGACATTTAAGTAATATTACCTCTGTCCCATAATAGATGTAACATTTAGTGTATGAAAATATATGCAAATGTAACAACTGTTATGGGACAGCAGTAATAAAAAAAATATTTTTTATATTTTTCCTAACATTTTAAAAGAGTGACAAGAATTAATTTAGTGTAAAAAAAAAAAAAACACACAATTGACTGCACTTTTCTGTTTGATAATCAAATACTGATTACCTCAAAGCATGATTTTCTTTTCTGTTACTTTCATCTTTTAATGAATTTTTCATCACTGATCATCTGCAAAAACAATATTATCTGTTAATCCATTTCTTTCATTCACTTTCTCGTCTTCATCCTCAATTTCACCATTATTGTCTTTGAAAACTTCCTCGTTAACAATGTCTGTAGCATCGTCAAGAGTCAGACCGACATCTTCTGAGAGGACAACCATGGTACCAGCCTCGACCATAGACTTAGTACCCTTGCATGAACTGCTGTGTCGTTTCAAGTGATATTTCGTATAAAAGGACTTTGAGCACATAGTACAACTAAAGTTGCGTTCGCCTGAATGAATCTTGAGATGCTTTTTGAAGTTTTGCATTTTATAGAAACTCTTGTCACAATGAGAACAGCAGAAGATCTTTTCTTTTGTGTGCTGATATGCGTGCTGTTTCAGGTCTGACGACCGGGAAAACATCTTTTCACAGAATTGACATTTCAGGCTCTTCTCGCCTGTGTGTGTGAACATATGTGATTTGAGGTGGGCTTTCTGACGAAATTGTTTCTGACAGACATAACAGGAAAATTTGCGTTCTCCTGCAAGAAAAAGGAAAGAAGGGTCACATTCAAGAGAATTTCACAGATAAAAATGCATGGAACGTTAAAAGGTTGTACAGACTCATGAAAAAATTGAGATTGACTTCCTCATAAGTAACATTATTGTTTATCCTGTTTATATTATTCCGTAATTACTGTTGGCAAGTGGGTGTGTGGTTTAGGGGTATAAAATGTGTCTACAACTTGCACACCATTTTCAATAGAACAACCAAAGTCCTTGAAAATGGCTAATAGCTTTGCAGAAAGCACTTAAACAGTCATTTCAACAATTTTTATATGTATTATGTCCAACAAAGAAATCTCTTGTTTGTACATAAGAAAAACACAATAAAAAACTTAATACCTTGTTAGTCATTTTTAAGAAAACGTATAGTTTAGAGCAGGGGTTTTCAAACTGTGGTCTACGGACCACAGGGGGTCCGCAAAGACAAGATAGTGTGTCCGTGGACAGCAAAGACTTTTTTATGGGTGACATGCAACTTATAAGCGCTTATAAGTAACTTATAGGCCGATCATGAAATAAATTGATTCAATAAACTATTTCATAGATTTGATATATTAATATAATTTGTATCTTAAATTGATAAAGATAATGAATTCTATTCATGCAGAGAAGGAAACAAAGGATTTGAATTTTGGATCTATTTTGCCATTTCCGGTTTTCTCATTGACTGTTAAGCGTTTGCATTAATGCAAAATTATATGTTATATTCAGCAAATATTTATGTATAAATTTCATAAGCGTTTATAAGGGTAAAGCCTGAAATATAAAGGGGTCCGTAAGTCAAGAAGTTTGAAAACCCCTGGTTTAGAGAACACATGATGAAAGGGAGATAACAAATGATCAAACGGAAACCATATTTACAAAGCAACTTTTGATGAAAAAATTCTATAGTAAACGTTTTTAAAGACTTGAAATAATTCCTTTTTTTTTTTTTTTTTTTTCATTATGTATTCATTTAATGTCTTCTGACTAAAATATAAATTACAAAATTTGAGAACCTTTTAGAGTAAACTATATAACAGGACATTTAGTAAGAATAACAATAATGAAACAACTAAAAAAATATGTGAAAATTTAACATTTTCCTGGCTAGCAGATTTTCCATCAAGAAGCGCTCAACAGATAACTAAAATTATAATATTCAATAAATCAAGAAAAGTTCAAGTGACTTATCTGGTTGACCGAGTCAAGAGTTTTGCATTGAAACATTCAGGACCAGATGTTTGATAAATTGATTTACTGAACATCTGACCCTGATGAGCATTTCATGGTGAAACTCTTGAGCCTGCCAATCAGTATATAACTTTTGTCAGTTTATTGAATAATAAGACATTTATAAGACTTAAGAATGTTCACTAATGTATGTATACATATGTAAATATATCGACAACTCTCCTTTTTCCTAGCTCCTAACTCTGACAGCTGAATAGGGGAGGGGGTAATTGAATCCAGTTCACCAATCCCAATAAATGAGTGTTCCTTCAGGGAGGCCCCATGTATTAGGATTTAAACTCAACCAAAGCCCCAAATGGAACTCGTACATATGATCCCTCACTAAAGATGGTAAATAAGTGGTCAGTTCCTTGTAACACTCCAGTAAGTACCCAACTCCTGCTAACTTCTACTTTTACAAGAACCAGCAGTGCTGTTGCCATATATAGGCTGGCAATATGCAGACTTCACCTTCTAGTCTTGATAGAGATCAAAACCACATCCACGTCATTGTGGAATAAGTAAGTAAAATGAAATAAACAAAAAAATCTAAATCAGAAAAAAATAAAAAAAATTAATAAACTATGAATGCACACACATAAACACAAGCAAATATAATAATAATCAATAAAAAATCATAATGCAATCAATAATAAATAATGAGTTAAAAAATTAACAAAAAAAACTATAAAATGGCCAGAAAACTACATTCAGACCCACACTTATTTCTACTCAATAGCTTCTAGAATAATTGGAAACATAACCATTACCAACTGCCCAATAATTATCATTATCAAACACCCTGAAAGATAGCGGATTTTGGCAATACTCACATACACAGCACACAGTACAAAAAAGCCAACTGAAAAGTAACACGGTTTAACTTATGATACAAAAACGTAAAAAAATAATGCAAGAAAGATATTCATTAAACTCACACACAAACACTTTCACAAATCAAGCACTCTCTACAAGATATTCAACAAAAATACAGCAAAAAGAACAGGACCCAAATAAATAAAAAGCAGAACAGAAAAATAACCAATAAATCAACTGCACAAGTTAAGCCTCCCTGTATTCCAGAGAAAAAGAATGAATGTCCCTTAAACAGCAAATGCTTGCAAACCAATATAATATACTAAGTTACTGTAAAATCAGCAGATAACTAAGAAAAAATATACATAGAGTTAAGTGAAGGAAAATTAAAATTAAAAACTACAAATGAATAGCTCACAAAATACAACTATGAAAAATGTAATTATATGCATTATATAGAATGCAGATAAAGTAACATACTTTAGACAAAGTCAATACTTTAAACTGAACAAAGAAGATAACGAACCTCCACAAAAATAAACAAAAAATCTAAATGAACAAATTAAGTAAATAATAAATAAACAAAATATAAATGCATACACAAGTAAATGTAATAATAATAATTAACAATAAATATTGAGTAAAAAAAATTGACAAACAAAACTATAAAATAGCCAGAAAACTGTATTCAGATCAACAATTATTTCTACTCAATAGCTTCTAGAATAATTTGAAAGATAACCATTACAGCCTACCAAATAAATGTTAAGATAAAACAATAGACCTTCTACACATAATGCACCAATGACCAGAATATATAAATAAAACATAACAGACATGGCCTGAAGATTGTATTTAAGCATGAAGCTTACTGTCACTGCTAGGTGTTTACCCCAATGACCACTTTTATATATAATACTATATAAAATTCCCTTCCTTTCTGCAATGTGACGATGGTCTAGAGGTAAGATATCTGACTGATATCAAATCAGGTTTCAATCCCAGTTTGAAGCAATTGGACGTCTAACCACACTGAGGAGCTGTAATACAGCAAAAGACTGTCTCTGAATGACTATATATGCTCCCAGAAATTCGGTTCAGCTGTCTAGAGAAAGGGTTTTTTAAAAAAATCAGCAGCTCCTACTGCTATTAAGCATTACTCTTCAAGTATGAATTGAGTTCTCCAAGCCACAGGCATATTTTGTATAGAGAAAAATTCCCTTCCTTTCTGCCATGTGACGATGGTCTAGGGGTAAGATATCTGACTGATGTCAAATCAGTTGGGTTTTGATCCTGGCTTGAAGCAATCAGATGTCTAGCCTAGGAGGTTTGATACAGTGAAACAGTCTATCTGTGGATGACAATATATATATATATATATATATATATATATATATATATTATAAATTAACTGATTCAAAATATGTTTTTTTCGCTACACAGTAATATTTTTTTTTTTTAAACAATTGATACCATTTTCTAGTGTCAACCAATGAAAAATGAAAGCACTTCATTTATTCCCTTGTCAGAATATAGAACTGAAACAAACAAAAAAAAAAAAACATACAATAAAGCAGAATATGGCACATTTCTTTTATTTCACCTGTGGATATGTGGAGAAGATAAAGAGAAGATAAACGCTGACAGTGAAAGCATTAGCAACATTGGTACACATAAAAAAAAATAAAAAATAAAAAAAAATATAAGTTACTCCAAAATTAGCTTGAGGATGAAATAGAACTAATGTTTTTAAATTAATTACAAAATTAAATTCGAAGCTTTTAGCTTCCATTTTTGAAACATGGTTATTACTGTGTAGCAAAAAAAAACCATATTTTAAATCAGTTAATTTATAATATTAATGCTTTGTAAATTTACATTGAGCACTATTTTGTAAAAATAAAAATATCAATAAGAACACCGGATTATATATCTTACTGTTCTTTCTTTTTATTTATATATATATATATATATATGAATAAAGACAAAAGGAAAACTTATCTTGGCTGATGTACACAAGGATTTTATTTTACAACATGTATTTATAAACAAAAGTAAAAATGTCTTCTTTCATTTTTCAGAATTTTTAAATTTATGAACGCTCATAAATATACTTCAGGCTGAAAGTCAAAGTAAAGTATGGAGGATGCTAAGTGATGTAATTTAATGTCTAATAAATGAAATTGAGTAAATGTTGTTATTGAATTTTTCATATACCATTTGTAAGGAGGAAGTTCCACTCAGACATCTTCTTCCTCAGAAATGTTACTTTGTGGAAAAGACTACCAAGATTCTTAATTCTAATTCTTCTCAATCACTACAATCTTAACATCTTTAAGTCTAGTGCCAACCATTATCTATCCAACTCATAATATGCATGTCTTACTTCTACCCTTTGCACCCTTACTACAAGACAATCTCATTCAGTAACCTTCTGCCTTGAGTGGCTTTTGGGCCTTTTATTGGGTAAATAACAGTATAAAAAACATTAAAATAATTTTATTGCAAGAAGTATGCTGTTTACCATTTTTTACAAATAAGGAAACAAAAACAAAGCAACAAATATTGTCTTTTTTGTTTTGTTTTTTTTGTTTTTTTTTAAAGAAAATGGTAAGTGGTGGTATTTGGCATGGAAGGGAAGTATTTTAAAACCTCACATGACCTCTGCTCTTGTAAGCAGATTAAATAACTGGGTGTCTCAAAAATCTTCAAAAAATTGTTTTAAATAATCATATTTATTCCCAGAATTGTTCAGATTATTAATATAATTCTTTTTATTGCTTTTGTTGTTAACATAACATTTTTGGATGATTCATTCTACAGCCTTCTTCAGGGATACAGGCTATATGGAAAGAAACGAAAGGATTATTTTCTTGAAAGTGCAAACCAGAAAATAGTAGCAAATGAAAAAGGCACAGTGGCAAAACAAAACAATTGACACCATTTT